GGAAGACTGTGCAAGTATGTGAAAGGAAGCATGACAGAAAGCAAGATTTCAACTACTCTTAAGCCGTACTTTCAGATAATGTGAGCCTAAGATGGCATGTAAACCATTCCCTTTTACTAACAATCTTTACTTCCTTGTCTAGAATTTCCTGTGGATTAAAGACACTGCAACACCTTAAATGTGCCTAATCCCCAGGAAATGATCAGCTGTGAGTTTGTTTTAAAAATGATTATTTTCAAGCTTAATACTTCCATGCCTTAGGCATGTAATAAATTTTGTGTGTTATTTTTCTTGTTAAAAAAAAATAAAAGATTCTTCCTGTTGCTAGTATTTTGTCCTAGATGTTTGGTCATCTAACAGCAAGGCAAATACATATATCTACATAGTTGCAGTCCCAACTGGGACAGAACCTTATCCGTTTCAGAATCTTCAGCACAGTGGATGGCACAGGGGAGGCTCACAAACATTTTTTGAGTTAATTTATGCATTGTGGAAACAGTGGGCATTATAGTTTGACAGACCTGGATATGAGTCCCAGTTCTGTCACTAGCAGTGTGGCCTTGGACGAGTTATTTCACCTTCAAGACTGTTTCCTTCTCTGTGAAATGTGGTGAAAGTATACATGTACATCTACGTGCACATTCCTTTGAAAGAAAGCTTTGCAAGGACCTCAACCCCCAGCATGGTTCCTGGCACATACACTATGGGGATTTTTGTTGTGTTTTTCTTTTTCTAGAAGGCTGGCTTCCTTCCTTCCTTCCGTCCTTCCTTTCACACCGGGAATTGAACTGGGGACCTTGAGTTGCGAGGCAGCCACCAGAACCACTGAGCTAAATCCCCAGCCCGTGTTCTTTCTTTTAATTCCATGTTAAATTGCAGAGCTGCTGTTAGGAATCAGCCAAAGCATTGGGACCTTAGATTTTGACAGTCTGAACATTATCTGTGAGAATATTTTATTTTTAAAAATAAAGCATCCTTGTGATTTTCCACCTCTACCTTTGATCATGCTCCATTCATATCCTATCCCCACTGCCTTCACTGTTTCCCTCAGCCTCTAAAAAAACTAATGGAGAAATATAGAAAGCTCCAAGGTATAACTAACCTTGTGCACCTTTAATTGAGGACAGAATTTGCTAAACTGTGGCCAAAAACCCACCAGTGGTTTACTTTACAATCTGTGTCCTGGCTAGACTGGCTGTTGCCTGTATAATTTGTCTAGTTTTGTCTGGAATCTTAGACTATTCAGCTGCTTCAGGGCAGAATCTTTTGGGGTGTCATTAAATGGGATTGATAATTGGTTTCTGATGAATATTCATTGTGACTAATGACTTTGGGCAAATTTTACACATACTATCTTTCTATTTTCCTACTGAGTGAGATTTTGATAGGATCATTTTCCTCAACTTGCACTTTAATTAAATATTCACAATACCCTTTGTTGACTACACTTCACTTTCCTTACTTTAAAATTTTGTTTTCTGTAAGGTATGGTCATAATTCTTTAAGGATTCTAATTTTTTGGAAATGGGGGTTAGAGTTATTTTTAAAAGAAGCAGCTAGTGATACTTTACAAGACATAATGTATTATTTCTGGCTAAGCATAGACATATAGTAAGACTTTTCTTAAAGAGTAAATGTATTATTTCTGGCTAAGCATAGACATATAGTAAGACTTTTCTTAAAAAGTAATCAGTTTAGGGCCGGGGATTTAGTTCAGTGGTTCCTCCGCCTGCCTTGAAAGCACAAGGACCCGCGTTCAATCCCCGGTAACAACAACATCAACAACAACAAATAATCAGCTTAGCCATTATTCTTAAGCAACAATGCAAATAATTTGTGCCATTTAGTATTTTGGAATAGAGCCAAACAGTTCCCTGTTTTGTTTGTTTGTTTTCCTAATCAAAAGGGTAGAATGCGTTTTACTCCAACTGGAGAGATCTGGCCCTTAGAAAATCCCCTAATGAAATGATCGAGTAACTTTAAAATCTTGATTTTTTTTTAAATGAAGGATAAGTAATTATAAAATCCTGGCATTTAGCTTGGTGGACTTATTTTGAAGTTAAGGAAACCTGGAAGAAACATTGTCTGAAGATTTTGACCCCAAACAATTTAAGCTAAAAAGAAGTAGATGATCAAGTTCTGTTTCAAACAGGACCATCCTATGAAATGACTGTTTCAGAGAATTATAAATGAAAGCATGAGATGATTCTTGTGTTTTATAGTACTTCATAGGTTTTTAAGTGCTTTAATAGGCATATTATTGAATGAATAAATAACTCAGTTTTCCAAAAGTAGCATATTTGTATGTCTGAATTGTTACTGTTTAGAATTGGAGTCATATGTCCCACTCTGTGGGACTCATGAAAATGTTAGGACAGTATTGTTGAAAGCCAAGCTACTGTGTTTCTATTGTATACATATTCAAAGTATGAATTGTTTTTATTTATTCAGGACACATTGCATTAACTAGCATTTGTGTATATGCTGTGCCACCGAGTACATGGAGATGAAGAAGTAACAAATGGCATATAGTTATAGTCTAATTGATAATGGGACATATGCCCAGGGGAGCCAAAGAAAGGCTTCAAAGAGGAGGGTAGTGCTTGTGCAGAGTCCCGAGTAATACAGGCGTTTGTTAAGGGTACAAATCTAGTCTAGTTCGGAGGATAAGTGAAAGAAAGAGTCTATAATTATTCCTACACCTACAAAATGATATATTCTAAGGGAGAACTTGGAGAAGGCAGTTAAGACTGGTGGTTAAAACTGGTGCTTTACAGGTAGACTGGGAGCTGGTGGACACATCCTTTCCGAGTCATGCCCGTGTGACTTCTGAGCAGGTAGTGAAGTAGCTGAGCCTGCACATTAGAAAGAGCACACTGGCAGCTAGTTAAAGGATGAGAGGGGATCCAAAGCTAGTGTAACCTTCAGCCTGACTTAAGGGTAGAATTGGAGTAAGTTGGTCCATCCTCCATTCATTTGACAACAGCTGAAACCCTGAAGGGATTCGTCATATATGTGTACATATGACAGGCTCCTTTATGAAGAAGCCTATAAAAAATAGATTGAGAAGGATGGGTTGGACCTTGCAGTTGGCACAGTTGCTGGGAGCAGCTCTTGAGTGCTTGCTCCTGTTCCTGGCATGTACCTGATGTAAAGAACAGAGTCTGAAAGGAAAGGAGGTAGGGGAAGGAGTGCTTTAGCTTTAATACACAGCTCTCACAACTGTGAAGCATCAGCAGAATATCCAATTTAAAGCTGTTCGTATTACACTAACCTCTGGGATTCTTTTAACTCGGCCTTGGCACTTCACTCTTTCGCCACGTAAATGTCCTTCTGTCAGCAAAAGCCAGTTAACAGCTTCCAAAAGAGGCAAAGTCCTCATGGGAACAGGCTTCCCAGAAACCAAAGAAACATTAAAGAAAAAACACAGAAAGAAACATGTGTTGTTGGGTTTTGTCACTTCATAGCTATATCTCCAAAGGTTGGTTTTTTTCCCCTTCCTTTTTGCCATATTGAATTTTGTAGCAAGTTGTATCCATTTTTAGTGTTATTTCCAAAATTTTTATGTCCCAAATACTAATTTTATGATACAATATCTCTAACTCTTAAGAAAATAAAAAAGGAATATGAAATAGGAGCATGTCAAAAGAATAGGAAGAGGAAAGATTAGCCAGTAAAGAGTGCCAGAACAATTGATTAACTATGTGAAAAATAAATTCTCACCTCAGTTCTTAAAACTAAATTAATTCCAGATGGATTAAAGAGTTAAATTCTAGGAGAAAATTTCCAGGACTTTCTCAGGATAAAAGTAGTGGAAATCATCATTAAAGAAAAAAATTGTCTACGTAATTATTTAAACCTTCTCTTCACTCAGAAATTCAAAGAAAATAAAGGATAAACTATTTTCAAAAACATTACAAAAGCCTGGTATTCTTTTCAAATTGTCAATGCTTGTTTATAAATTGATGTTTAAATACTAATGCTCATTTTAAAAGTGAACTGAGACTATAACATAGATCATTTACCTAAGAAATGTGGTCAAGAAGCATGACAAAAGGTGTTCAACCTCAATCTTGATTAGATCAATAAAAATAAAAGTAAGATCAATAAAAGTTTAAAAGTACTGATGTAACTACGGTACACAATGCTGAGCAGAGGCAGTGAGATCAGCATCATAGCATGTGGCTGGGGAGTGTAAATTGCCTCTATCTGCTTATTTATATTAACATATTTATGATATTTATATTACTGTATTTGCTAAGTGCCTTAAAATATTCATGAACTTTGTCCCTAAATTCTACATCTAGAAACTACTTACAAAAATTTTGATCTGATGCAATTATATAACTTAGTGATAGAAGAGTAGTGAAATATAGTATTAGAAATATTTATAGATGTGGGAAAATGGCATCAAATAATGTTAATTTTTATTTGTTTTTGGGTTTTTTTTGGTATCGGGGATCGAACTTGGGACCTTGCGCTTGTGAGGCAGGCGGCGGAACCACCGAGCTAAATCCCCAGCCCCTAATGTTAATTTTTAAAAGAATACTGTATAGTGTTCCTAATTTTATTAGGAAAAGAAACATAAGTGCTTATGAGTGTGATATATTAAAATGGTAAATTAGTGTAGATTCCCATTTTCCTGTATCTCTCCATTTTCTGAATGTACTGTTCTGCTCTAAACATGCATTAGCTGTTTTTCCTTTCTTTTCCAATACTGGGGTTGGAACCAAGGGCTTCACACATGGTAGATAAGCTCTGCCACTGAGTATACCCCCAGTCCTGCATTGCCTTTTATAATCAGGAAAAAAATAAACATTTTGAAAATTCTTACAAAATTTGCTTTACGATGATCAGATTAATTTAGAATTACTTCTTCAGATCTTTCATCCTATAATTTTAAGTATGTTGATGTGCACATATTTCATTTTATTGCTGCAAGCCAGTGACAGTACTTCATCACTTGATTTTTCTGAATTTCTGCTTTGCTTCTGTTGCAGTTGACTGCCTGCATCCACGGCTCAGCCGCGATGCTCTACCCCATGTACTGGCAGCATGTGTACATCCCCGTGCTGCCCCCACATCTGCTGGACTACTGCTGGTAAGCCTGCGGTGCACCCTGCCCTCCACTTTCCCGCTTCCAGGAATGGGCTGGGAATGATAGGTCTGTAACTTGTTAATGCCACAGAGGACTCTAAATTAAAATAGTCTAAATGACTCAGATTTGAGACCACCTGATTATATAGCTCTTTTCTTTCCAAACAGCTTTCCTATATCTCATGACATTCTAAAGAGTTCAAGAAAATAGGTAATCCTTTTTCCATTTCTCAGCTTGGAGAAACCAAAGCACCAAGAAGTTGTGTGCTTTTTCCCCTAAGACAAATTGGAAACTGGTGACAGGAACAGTTGAGATCCCCAAGGTCTTCAAGTTTCAGCCATGCCCTGGCAGGTCCTATCAGACTTGCTCTCAGCTGCCATTTGGGAGCAAAAGCCAGACTTCAAAATCCTCTGAAGTTTTTTGATGAGAATGTCACTGTTGAGTGAAACATGTTTTAGTGGGAGCAAAGAAGCTGTGGAGTTGACCTGGGCAAGTCACTTGGCCTAAGGCTCTGTTTTGTCATCTACAAGAGGAAGTTGTTCAATACATAATTATATAAAGGTAAAATGAGATAACAGATGAAGACACCCAGTATGTAGAAAAACTGGCTCACAGAAGGTGCGTAATGTTTCTGCTGAAGCATCACCGTTCTTACTGTCTTCAGTAGATGACTGCAGAAGTCCGTGTGGCCGATTTGGATCCATTTTTCTTATGAGTCATTTCTCTAGTGTAATGTGATAAAAAGACATTGTTTTCAAACAGCTCTTATAAGCAGATGTTGATAAAGGAACACAATTCATGTGTAAGGAAAGGCATTCACTGCTTGCCAAAAATCAGGAGCTTCTGGAGAAAAGGACTCTGTCACTTAAAAACAAATGGTTCAGGACATGCAACATTAGTTCAGAATGATTGAGTCCAGACCAATCATCATTTTTGCTGTTTTGCAACCCTCTCACTGTAAAGGTTCACCCACATAGTCAAATTATCCTGGGAGCTTAAAGGTATTCTACCATCCCCCTTATTTTGTTTTGTTTTGGTAAATGTTTGCAGCACATAATGACCACACTCTTCCTGGGGAGTTGGTACATGTACATAACACATGTTAATTTGTTTTTTATACCCTTCCCTTCCCTTCCCTTCTTTCCCCTGAAAGTGCTTGGCTCACCCTCCTCCCAAGGAACCACGTGTGTAACAGAGATGTAGCTCATGGCCAGCAGATAAAAAATTAGGGCCCTCCCTTGAGCATAGCAGCAGTGAACTGGCTCATTTCTCTATCATATTTCTTATTAAGCTTGGTCTTCTTATCCACCGCTTTCTTCTATTTATGAGAGAAGGGGCAGTATGTTTCCTATCGTGTGGAGAATATAATCCTAGCTCTTGTTTTGTTTTAGCAGTACTGATGATTGAACCCAAGGCCTTCACTCTGAGCTACATCTCCAGTCCTCATTTTATGTTTTATTTTGAGACATGGTCTTGCAAAGTCATGAAGTTCCCAGGCTGGGACTGAACTTTTGATCCTGGTGCTTCAGTCTCCCAAAGTTTTCGAATTACAGATGTAAGCCACCACACCTGGATTATCTTGGCTTATTTAAAATTTCATCTTGATTCATCAAGTGGCTGGGCTACACATTTTGTTCACTATGTCTCTTTATATCTTGGTTTATTGTGGAAGTTATTTTCAGTTAATGCTTTCTAGGTACTGTTGGTCTGGGTTTTATTTTTCTTCCCTTCTGGAGCAGGTAAAAGGAATTTTAGTTTTTGCAGATAGAAAAGGATGAGGATATAAATCCCTCATAATAAATTCACTTTGTCCACCATTAGATGTTTGAATTTCCTCCTTAGGGGATGTTTTTAAAATTCAAGGTCCCAGGGCCGGGGATTTAGCTCAGTGGTTCTGCCGCCTGCTTTGCAAGCACAGGGTCCTGAGTTCAATCCCTGGTACTAAAAAATAAAATAAAATAAAATTCAAGGTCCCTCTGGAGCCCCACTCCATCCACATTCTCTGTCTTCTGCCCTCCACTGGGGACTCCGTGGAGTACTGAACTCTCTTCAGTGGTAGCTGCTCCTTCTGCTCCCAGGTCAAAGTGAAGATCATCAGAATCTTGTCCCCCAGCCACGGCATGGTACAAGTTTCACTCTGTCCTTTGACTTCCAGCACAGTGCCTAGGAACCTTCTTGACCACCCACCCTATCAGTGTCATCGCCTTGTCTCCCAGTCTCCATTACTTGTTTGTCTAGATCTCCTGTCCATCTTTCGGTGCTGTCCTCAGTGACTTCAAAAGCAACACTGTTGGCCTCCCCTATCCCCACAGAGCTCACACTGGCTGTATTTGTTGCCTGGTCACAGGTTCCTTCTCTCTCTCAGAGAGGTCATGAAATAGTGCAGACAAGGATGGACCAGAGAGGAACTGAGCCCTTGTTTTACTCCATTATTTCCCAGCTCTGTAGCTTAAAGTAGGTAGCTTTTCTGAGTCTTGGCCCTTATCTGTAATTGTTTCAAAACAATTTTACATGCAAAAGCACTTTATAGACTGAAAAGTGCTATCTAAGGTACCCAGCAGGATAACACACTTGGTGTCATTTAACCTTTTGAAACTCCTTGATTCCACGTCTCTGGCTTTGAGTTCTCCCCTCTGATTCTGACTTCTTTCCTCAGCTCCTTCACCTCTTCCCTTTCTTCTCAATACCCTTTGTATCTGTCTTTACCACATCTTTCCGCATCACCTCTTTATTGCTTCCTTTTTGTTCTACCCCTTCCCTTACCCAGTTTGGGTTTTATATTCCTGCTTCCACTGGACCTTTTTCAGTGCAACAGATATTTTCTGATGCCTGCCATGTCTCAGGCATTGTGCTAAATGTGGGCAAAGATGTGAGTAAATCTCCACCAAAAGAGGGTCAGGCAGTCAGGTAAAGAGGAAAGGTACACAAACAGATTGTTTGTGAGATGCGTGAGAGGGGAGCTATTCAGGGTTCCCTACCAAGTCCCTAGAGGCTCTGGCTGCCCTTGCCTTGCCACTGTCCCTGAGCACCTCCACCATCTTTCTATCTGAAGATACTGGCAGATACTGCTAGAGAAAGGCTAGAAGCCATTGTATAGAAGATCCAGTGGAAAGTTGTGCCACCTACCCTCAGCTTGTCCTGCTGCTCTGCAGTTGGCCCCAAGCCCTCACATCACCTGCCATACATCAGGCTCCAGGCTGGGCTTCTCACTGTGCTGGTTATATTGCCACAACTATTTTCTCCCCTTTCCAAAGCTTGTTACTATGCCTTATCTTTCTCTTCCTCCTTCTTTCCTACCATCCATAAGAAAGGAAGAACAGATTTTTCCAAAGCCAGTGACCTCCCCTGGGCTAAGGTTCCCTTGCCTGAGGATTGTTGGGATGCATTGGGACTGCTGATCTCCCTGGTATCATTAAGTTTCCCTACCTTTCCTCCTCCCTCCTCTCCCCACAAATGTACACAGATGACCCATTCCTAAACTAGACCTTTGCTTACTGGTTGTTAGCTCCTTTTCACAGATCAGTAAACCAGGGGCCCAAGAGGTTCAGTAATTTGTCCCAATATAGATACATATTGTTGGATTCCATCCTCATAAGAACAAATAAGAATTATGTCTACACATAACATAAAAATTAGATGAACATATATGTATATAGAGAGATCTGAAAAGAAATACACCAAAATGGTTAATAGTGACATAATGGGGAGGAGAGTTATGATTTGAAAAGCGTTCTTTTGAAAAATTAGTTTTCATTCGAGCCAGTTGTTCTTTCCAGCCACCACCCTTCTCATTTTATTTGCTTAGAGGATGTATTAGCTGTTTTACACTTTGCTGGGAGTTTTGATCCAGATCTTCTTTTCAACTTCATTTTTGTTTTTTTGTTTTTTTTTCTTTTTGGTACCGGGATCAAACTTGGGTCCTTGCGCTTGTGAGGCAGGCAGCGGAACCACTGAGCTAAACCCCCGGCCCCTCAACTTCATTTTTGACTCCAGCAGTCTCGTGAACTGGGTCTCGAGTCTAACCAAGGACAGTGATGTCAGCAGTTCCAACTTCAAAGGAAAGACTTGGCAAGGAAGGCGCTGAGCCCTTGTCTCCTCAAGCTTCCATTCTGGAGAATCAAGTTTCAGACTTATATTGTGCCTGAATGGATTTTGTGATGAGGCTCCATCTTGAAAGTTTCTGTGTTTGTACAAAACCAGTTGCTCTACTAATCACATTTTCATGAAAGAACTTTTTGACATCTGACCAAAGGATGATTATAGGCTGGTGGGAATTGCTGTCTCTTTATTAATTGTAAGATGTAAGAATGATAAAATGATAGACCCCAAGAGAAAGAAAAAAAACCAGATTCTCCAATCAAAGCTTAATTTGATCACCTTTAGCCTACTGCCACTGCTCTGGTCAGAAACTACAAATATCATGAAATTTGAGTCATTGCTAATAACTTTATTCTATTGTGCTTGGTGACTTCCACCACCATTAAGTGTAATCCTTGGCAGTAGGAACCAGCAGGGATAACTAGCATTTTAAGTAAAGTGCTAGGAGCCTGAAACATGTAAATTTGAGGGAGGTTTGTTCCTCTGCAGATGATTTAAATGTTAAGTACATCCCCATGCAGGGGACACACAAAATGGAATCTGAAAACTATTATCTCCTGTAGAAATGAACTCTCAATTTACTCACTGCACAGGAAGGGCGGATTCTAGTTATTTTCACTGCCAGCAGGTGCCCTTTCTATGCATAATAGACTTCACAAGTGTAATTAACACATGAGGACCACTGCTGCCAGTTTTTCTTCAGGTACATGCTGCTATGAGTTTTCAGGACAACAGTGTAGGCCACAAGAGCTTTTCAACTTGCACTTGAAGATGAGGTGTTCATTGACCTCTGGACAAAGACATGTTAAATGGTGCTGAGCGTAGTCACTGCTGTTAGTATCATAGGTCGTGGTCCTTAGACCCAAAGACCCCAGAAGCTGTGTTGCAGCTTTTGGTAGACCAGG